ATTAGTGTTTTTTTAATGGAATTAGATAAGCAAAGACTAAAAAACGAAAAGTAAAATAAGAAAAAAGGAGGACAAAAAATAGCGTTGAAATAAATTTTAAAAAACGTAGAATTATAGAAGAGAATTTATCAAGGAAAAAATTAATACAGATAATTATTTCAAATATACTTATTACTTAACCATCCATCCTCCATTATAATGATTCTAATAATTACTTAACTTTTTCACCAACACTTTATTTATAGGAAAATATTAGTTATCGTTAATAACTATAAATATTCATATGATTTGTGAACAATTGTCTTATATTTACCTTAGAAAAAAATTCAAGAGTCCAATTATATGTTTTTATTAGATATTATAACATTTTTTTTAATCTTAACATAAAACTTTTTATTATTCATTTATAATTGTTCATTTATTACTTATTTTATTATGTATTTTAACAACAATATATTATTTTTAGGTTAATTCTATATCACTAAAAACCATTTTACCGAACTAAAATCATGTATCACCCATTTCCTTCCAAAGAATCAACATAGATAGAGAAAACTTTAAATTTTAATATACAAATATTCAAGTACTTTTTTAAGTCTCCAAATTATAAGTAGCTTATCTATTACAGAGAACTTTTCATATTTCTTAGACTGTTTTTGGATTTGTTACTATTTTAATTCTTTTGATATTTCTAAACAAAATTAAAAGACTAAAAATCTCACTTTAAATTTTCAACAAAATATTAAAGTTAACCATATTTTATTTCGAGAACTCATTTAAATGGATAATAAAGCAATAAATTCTTATTTGTATATCATAACTAACATAAAATAATAGGTACTATTCAACCAAAAAAAGTATAGGTATTTGACCGTACTACTAATTTAAAGATATTTATTGTTTGATAAAATCAATTCATGAATTGAGTTGAAATTAAAAATCTAAATGATAAAATTTATTAGCTAATATATTTGGATTTGAAAATTAAAAAAAATGAAAACTTTTATACAACGCGCGTAGCCAACTAAGTTTACTAGTGATATGATAAAACTGGACAACACCCACGTCCATGTGCTAAATTCATTGAAAAGCATGACATATGTGCTCAATATACAATTCCTGAAACACCACAAAAAAATGGTGTAGCATAATTGTGTGACCATACATTAATAGACATGGTCAGGAGTATGTTAAGTAATTCATATTTACCCCTTTCAATGTGGATCTATGCTCTAATATATGCCAGCCACTTACTTGATAAGGTTCCTAGTAAAATGGTTCCAAACACTCCTTTTCATATGTGGAATTATAGGAAACCTAGTTTGAGGAACCTACATGTTTGGGGCTGACCCGACAAAAATTAGAGTTTATAACCACGAGAAAAGAAACAGGACTCAAGAACATTAAATAGTTTCTTCATTGTTAATCCAGAAAAATGAAAAGGGTAAAGATTTAAGTGTCCTACACAGTACAAGAATAATTTAAACTGGAAATTCTAGGTTCATTGATTATTGTGAATTTCGTTGAAGTGAAGAACCACGTAAAGTGGAAATCAAGGAAGTTAGGATGAATGATCCTTTACCTTTTACTTCTTTCAAGTTGATACATCTTTGTTAAATTTAAAAATCAGATTTATACATTAAAAATGTTCCAATACTTTGTGCTCTTATTTGTTATATATATCTTATATATTGTACTCTATTGGACGGAATACATCTACTTTATGATTCATCCCCAATGATTAAAGTGATCCTGTTACTATACTCACATGAATTTTCTATGAGTATGTCAACTTATTTCTTTCATTGAAATCCTCTTTTCATGAGGAGCATGTATAAGAAAGGTTGAAAAAGTACATCAAAACTAGTAAACTATTAGAAGAAATAAAAGGACAATATTATTATAGGGAACTAAAAAATTTAAAAAGGAAATGGCGCGGAGTAAAAATTAAAAACTTCAAGAATTCCAATTCATAATTAAGTCTTCAGCTATTACAATTATCAGATAAAGTAATACTAAATCAAAGACTATGATAGCATATAAATTTTTTTTGATTTGATATTATTGGACCTTTCTACTAATAGCCATCTTGAGAAAACAATTTGAACACTAGACTTGAAGATCTAGGACCCCAATAAAGTCTGATTTCATCACCCTCACCCAATCTACGACCCTTGAACAATTTGATGTACCTAAGAGAAAAATCAACATTGACCAACATTCTTACAAAAGAAACTTCTACCTTCATACTTCGTAGGAACATTATCCTCAGTTACATCCTATTTTTAAGAACACACCTTGTAGCCATTCTCCAAAACATTTTGCAATGCCCAAAGTCTAGTTATCAAGGATTTGCCCAAGAATCTCGAAAAATGAAATCATCCGGAATCCTAAAACAATATCTTCATGGATAATCTTTTTCTTGATCTGCCATGGGTTTTTCAGATCGATTCTTGAACTAGGGTATCGATCCCTTATCTCCACTAGTTCTCGAGTAACTTCATGTGCAGTGTTGTTAATGTTGTATATTTCTTCTTCAGCTTTTGATGGAAAGAAATTGTAAAATAAGGTCTTCTTCATGCTAAGCAAATGCCTCTTTTCAAACATTGAAGAAAGTGAGGAAGGATACAATTCTCAAGAAAATAGAACATCGTAAAAAGAGAAAGGTTGAAACATGTTATAAAGACACAAATTAGGTTCTCTATTCCAACATAGAGTGATAATTATAGAAAAATATTTCTATTTTTAAGTTTTAACCTTTTTTCTTAAGGGACTACCAGAGAAGAGTTATAAAATAGGATGTGTCATTTTGGCATTAAAATGCATGATGATTATTCCAAGATTGTTATGTTACCTAAAGTGTGGACAAAAATAAGTTTAACTAATAACCATCGATGATATAAGGATTTTTAAATGGTCAAGTGATTAGAAGGAAAAATAAAAAACTTTTTGGTCTAATATCTTGAATCATTACACAACAGTCAGTCAATATTTTTTTTTACAAATAAAAGTAAAGAAAAAAAACAAAATTTAAGAATCTAAATATTCTGATCAACAGTAAAAATTTAAAAACAAACTGATTCATAAATCACGGACCTTAGAAAATAATTTAAAAATTAACTTTGATAAACCAGGATATAAATTTAGCCCAATATTATAACAAATACTCAATCTGCAATCCTTGATCCAGTGTCACGATGGATACAAAATAGTCACCATTACTCAACTTCCTAAAGGTTAAAAAACTATCTTCATAGTTTTAGTGTCATTCTTTTATGGTATATCCTAAAAGTCAACACAAACCCCATTCACATTCACCAAACTTCTTGCTATCTCTGAATTCCATTATGGACACATAAAAGCTTTAGAAAATGGAAACTGCAACTTCTCAAAAGTGAGTTCTTTCTAGGTAATATTTTTCCTGATGTGCCTCACAGCATTCAGATCGAATATCAGGGGAGGTCCTATCTATATTAGCTCTTGAGACATTTCCCGTGTTGTGTTGCTGACTTTAAAAGCTTCTTCTTCTGTGTTTGATGGCACAAAATTGAACATAGTATATATTCGCGAGTTATTTTTTGGATAAACAACTATTTATATGTCATTTGTTTTCTATTTATTATGGTAAATTCAGCAAATTGTTTACCATTTAGATTTTTTCCTAATTTGATTTGTGTACAATATATAAACCTTGAGAAACTATTTTCGTGGATAATATTAAATTTGAGTATATTGTATGGTCATATATTTCTCACCTTAATATTAGATACAACATAATAGACTATTCTCTGAGGTTAGTAATAACTTAAATATTTTAGATCATTGTGAGACATTTTCTCATAAGTTTATTAGCTTGCTCAAAAGGGATCTTTAGACTATTTCATAAAAAGGTACATATTAACTTCACGGTTGAAATAGTTAACAAATGAAAAAATATTGACGTTTCACACTAGATACACTTGTATTACAAAAAGAAATCTGAAAAACAATTACTAGGACACTATCAACACCATAAATAACATCCTAATACTTGAACGAATTTTAGTTATATAATACATAACCTACGATTAACTATATCACAACCTTTCTAGACATTCATAAAATTACACGAGGCAAATTTCCTCTTTCATACCATTCAAAATTACGCGAGATAACAATCCAGCAGCTACATTATTTTTTGATGCTGACACCTTTTCAATTCTTTACGAAACGCGGTTACTGCAATAACCTGCTTTAGCCTCATTAAGACACAATACTCATTGATCTTTAGAGAATGATGAGATCGGTTCAACAAATCCCTTTGAAGTCTTCCAACGTTAACATTGGTTGATGAGACACTATCCTATAATAGCAATTTAAGGCCTTTAATTAAAAAAACACCTATGTCCTGTAATATTTCAACTAAACAAATTTCATATACTCGCAAAAATATTGTTCCACTTTTAAAATCCATCTAAAACAATCCTCTCCTTTGAAATATGGTTGTTGTTGTTTCTGAAAGTTTTTCCAATCGTTTAGTCTAGCCAAGTGGACATTGCTTCCCTCTTATAAGTTTAGGATTAATCTAATCCTACAGAGGGATGCTTCTACCATAATGGTTCTCCCATGTGCTTCTATTATCTCAAGAGATCTTATCCCTCGAAACCATACTTTGAGCATTCTGACATCTTCTCTCACCTATGTCAAATTAGTTTGTGCAATTCGACTCATCCCTCCATTCTACTCAGCATCCCCGAAAGTTGCTTCTTTAATACCAAATTGATAGACTTTAATGCTGAAATAATAAATAAAGGAACAAATATTGATGTTTCACACCAGATACATTGATATTACACAAGAAATCTAAAAAAAAACACGACAAATTACATCCTAAGACATGAATGAATTTTAGTTACATAACACATGACATATGATTCACTAGATCACTACTTTTCTACACTTTCGAAAGTCTAGTAATCTCCCAGAATTCCCTTTTCCTTTTTCTGAACAACACTCTTCTAAATGTCTAGCCCCTTTTGTACATAAAATACCACCCCTTAACTGTGTCATGACCATTATAAAGTCAATTAATTACTTTTTTTAGGTCTCCTGAATTAGTATTTATAACTTGAGGAACATCAATAAATAAACGTGTAGGAGTTTTTTTTTTAAAAAAAAGGTCACTCATTAAAAGGAAAAGTCTCAAGTGTGCCATTAAAGCTCAGAAAATTACACAAGGTGTCCCCTAAATGTAGTGGTCTTGATTTTTTTTTTGTCTGTGGTTAGAAATTCTTTAAAGAATTAAAAATTCTTCCTACTTATTGTATGTGTTGGAACACACATAGTTTTCAGGTATTCATTCTTGGTTGCAACTTTGAGTAGAAATAAATCACTTGAGAAAACTAGTAAAACAGATATTATAATACTACACTGGCTGAAAGACAATGATGGTATATACATATCAAACAATGTATTATCACCTAGTATTTGGCGGCTGGCAAAACTATGACATATGAGAATTGATAATTATTTTGTACTAACCCTGTTATAAGAGGACACTATTGGAAAACTATATGAACGGTGGAAGCATGCCAGAGTGATACTACTTACATTGATAAATGACAACACATAGTTTATGCTAGAACACATGCACTCATGATAGAGCTCATAAACTTTCTGAAATTTAATTCAAGAATTACCTCTTGAAGCTTTAACGAATACCTTCAAGCGAATGCACAAGCTATTTAGTAAATTAGAACCTTCAAGCAAATCTAGAAGCTAGTCCACAAACTGGACGATAGTTATATGGTCTTCTACGATTATACCAAGTTCACTTACAAACTATCTGAATACTTGGGTAGGAAAGTATCATACTATAAATATATTTTTCAAGGGTTTAAAGAGTCTCTATTTTTAAATATTTTGTCCTTTTTCCTAGTCCAAGGTAGAGAGGAAGCACATGTCTTTCCTTAGAATAAAAAAAAACATGTACTTCTGTCTTTTCTTAGAATAGAAGAGGATACATACTCCTCCCTTTTATTAGAATAAAATAATGTACATTTCCCTTTCGTTAGAATAAAAGAATACACAAACTTCTCCCTTTCCTTAGAGTAGAGAAAGATAAATACTATTTTCCCCATAAAATAGATACTAAATTCTAGTTAAATATGGGAACGATAGGTGATGAGTCCATGATTTGAACTCTTTTAGAGTTATCTTTTAGTAGATTTAGTGTCCTGAAATGCATATTTGATCTCAATAACTAATGAAAAATTGTAAGTTTCAGGTACTTAGACTCGGAGACAATGCATGGACATAATTGAGCAAAAAGGATCAAGGTAGTTAAAAGAATGAAGAAAAGACGGCATGAGGATCACCTAATCCATTAGGAGAGTCGTCAAATGGACTAATTCTTACCTATTGTTCTAGTATACTAAGATCTGATGGAAAGGATCAAGTCGGCGTTTTGCCGAGCTTTTCGGCGAAGCACTACTAGATCTCCCAATGATCCAGAATGTAATGATTTTGAAGGATAAAGCAAGACATCCATGAAATATAGGAAAGGGTGGATTGCCAAGTTGACCGGTGATCCCTACTAACTAGGGTTAGTGATCTTTCGCAGCAAAATTTTTCAAAAACTATAAATACTTGTTGACACTTGTAGCTTAGTATAAGATTTCTATTATTCGAAGTTTCTGTATTGAGATAGATAATTTAGTCTTAGTTCCTAGAGTTTTTGGGAGAAATAGTTCTTCAGCTTTGAAGAATTGAAGATTTCCAACTCCACGAAATTGCAAGTGGGTACTTAAGAATGTTTATTGCAGACCTGTTTAAAGACATTTTCTATCATACTCAATAAATGAAAACACTTTTCAGTATCGATTTCTATCTCTTTACTATGTCTAGATAAAACCTCGATTTGTGGGGTGTGATATGTGAACATGGTTGAATTTACTGTTGGGTCTTGCTTATTAATATTTATTTTGCTGTTTAAATGTGATTTCTTTCAGTAATAATGTATGAACTTAATGGGATTATAGCTGAAAATATGATTTCATCTTCGTGTTTGTGGCTTGCTCGAGAGAGATGTCTTATTAAAAAAACTAATAAATCAATAGCATGTGATTATTGGATTGATGTGGGTTCAACTCGAGAGAGTGAATGGGATAAGGTGAAGGATAGAAATTATTGCGGATTATCGATGTTTGACAGAAACAATTTTGATTCGGGGTAAGTTGCTCGAGACAAAATTAACCCCCACTAAAGTCTAGCTTATTCAAAAATTTAAAACGATTTACTATAAATAACATGTACCCAGTTCATTATTTTAGCCCATATTCCTATCACATCTCATGAATCGCGTCTCCATATTTGTATTTTCATTTATCTTCAGTTTTAACTCATAATTTCTTACAAACCCCCATTGACAAAAGAACTTATGTCACCCCTTGAATTTATTATGCTTTCATTCATAAATATCTTTTATCCATGACTAATATGAATTTATTTGTACTTGGTTGTTAATTTTCGTAGACTCCTATTGGATTCAACCCCAACTCACTTAGTCGGGTTATACTACGTACTAACGATCGTAGACACTTAAAATTGGATAAAGAGTCTTTGAGACGTCAAGTCAAAATGGCGCCGTTGTCGGGCAGTGGTGTTATTTGGGAATTTCTAGTTAAGTTGAATTTTGTTCTAGATTGTTATAGTTTAACTAACTTAATTTTTAGTTTTGTTTTGTTTGTTTCCTTGTTTCTGTTTTCAAATTGAAAAGATGAAGAGGCGAACTTTCCTCCATTAGAAATAATGATGTTCTGGGATAAGATTCTAACTTTCAAGAAGCTAGAAGGTGAACAACTTAACGAGTCGTGGATGAGATTTAAAGAACTTTAGATTCAATGACCAACTCATGAAATTCCCGAGTAGTCCTTCTCGAATATTTTGCCAAAAGTCTTGGTCCAAAGGATCGAGTGCTGACTGATCAACTTATCTCTGGTGGTCTAGTACGAAACCCCTATGTGATAACAGCCCAATTACTTGACCACCTGACGGAGTCCAACCAGGAAGTGGAAAAGGACTTAAGCTTAGAATCTTTGTTAACTCATATGGATGAGTTAACCAAAAAGGTTAGAGAGATAGAAGTCTAGTGTGTGAAGCAGGATTACTATATCGCTCCTCATAGGCAAAGAAAGCTGAAGAACAAAAAGGATGAAAACTGAAGCAATGATCACACTCCTTCTCTAACAAGACAATATGTGGGTTAGGGTATTGGAGGAGTTAAGGTAGAATGTACTTATGTTGAACAAGATGACAACCTCCCATGCAATGCTCATTCAGCTATTAGGACCTCAAATGGATAAAGAGCTTAATGAGCTCTACCTGAATCCGGAAATAGGGGTTTTCTAATAAAAATGAGGCAAACCACACTAATGGAACTTGAGTGTGGACTTACGTGGTGTTGTGACGTAAACTCAGGCACAACTTAAGAGGCAAACCAAGACCTTTTTTCTGCTTTACTCATGTTTTAGAAATAATGGTGTGTTGATTGTGCAGGTTGAAGTGACAATATACAGAAAGTACTGATTGAGCAAATGGACCCAACAGCGCATCACCGACGAGTTAGGTGAACCTAACCTTGACCGCCGAATTAGACTCAAAACAAAGTCACATTGGAGTCTGCAAAAATCGGCAAGCACATGAAATTATTGGTGATTTGCTGACCTGATCAGCTATCCTGTTTTTCTCCGCCATTTGGACGCCCACAATAATTGAAGGTTTTGTAACACTCAGAAAGGTAAGTTTTCATTAAGAATGTTATTGAGTGAGTTGGGGAGGACGACTTATATCACCGAGTGGCAAGGATTGGACATTTACTAAAAAGGCCAAAGGTTTAAACTTCTAATTCTTTCACTTTCCCTCACATAAAATCTCCCCCAATTCACACATCTCCAGTATTTTCTATATTCTTACATTCTCTAAATGTTTTAGTTTTTGTCTTATGCTCAGAATTGGAATATTTTGCTGCCTAGCTTTTCAAATTTTGTATTGTTAAAAGGTATATTTTCAAAACCCATTTTTGATTTTTTTTATTGCGTTTGGTACCCGTTTACAAAGGACATCATCTAATTATCGTGTGTTGGGCCTCTCTTGTAAGATTAGAATATTTGAATGTGACTATGTTTATTTTCCTGCCTCTACTGCTTTGAATGTGCAATTTCGTGTTTTTTGTGCTTCGCAAGAAATCAAAATTCTTGGGTTATGCTTGCTTGTCATAATTGTTCATCAAGTAAAGTATGAGTAGCATGTAATTTTGCCAAATGACGTGATTTATACAATAATAGAATGGGTGACACCATTATTAAGGGAAAAAGTCATCAAATGCCAAAAATTTTGCAAACCCCGAAGAATTATCAGTATCCAGGGGTCAGGGTAATGGGTGTTGTGGGTCTAGTCTTAATTTGAATTGTACATTCTTTGATATTTTTTCGGGGGTTGGGTGTTGAATTAGAGAAGTTGGGTTGAACAAAAGCACATTGGGTAATTTCAGGCTTTATTTGATGTCGAGTTCTGTATCTTTTGGCAAGAATCCTGAGGTCACATGGCCATTCACCGAAGGTCTTCTTATTTTCCCTTTGTATACACTTCTGACCCCATGATACACTATGAATTTTGGCGAGCTAGTTCTTGCTCTTCGAAAGGTGCCAGCAATTCACGTAAAGTCCTATGTATTATCAACAAGCCAAAACTTTTAAGACAACCCTTTTAGCGAGTCGATATGTCTTGCCTAACTGTTTAAGTGTGTTACCGAGTAGATCGACAAGTCTATCTGTAACTCTTTTTATGTAAAGGTAATCAAGTTGTTTCTAATTTTTTTCCAATAATTTGCAGATATGGCTAAACCCAAGGTCGCAGAAAGAAACATGCCACCCCGAAGAAAAGCAAAAAGGATTACAATAAACTTGGATGCAACATCATCCAGGAATAAAGCAACCAAACTCCCAGATCTGGTGGGAAAAGAAGAGGCAAAGAAAAAGCACTTGTATTAATAGAGCACAAATATGACAGTGATGGAATTTACACTACACACCTTACCCGTTCTGAGAGTGAAGGTGTACACCAATAGCCTGAGATTTTAGCATTCGATGAAACCATGCTTGTAGCAGCACAAAAGGCAGAGTTATGCTCTAAAAATATGAATGGCCCCTCTAGTATTTGAAGTCCTTAGACCATCACTTCTACTCCTTTAGTTTTAAAATAGAGTAGTGGTACTAACACCACCGGTTCAGGGCCCCCTCCTCATAAGTCAATCAAAAGATTAAGGACTACGGGTGAGGACAATTCTTGAGGAAAAATGTTTATCCACATATGGAGTGATTCATAGGTATCCAAAAATCATTAGTTTCCTCAAGTACCATAATTTTCCAATTTTCGCAAATCATTGTGGCCCATATATTCCAAATTAGGTTCGGGAGTTTTAGGCTTCTTATGGGACCTTGATACCATAGAGAAAGAAGCAGGTAGCAACATTCAAACTGGTGGACTATATAGTCATCCGGGGTAAATGGGTCAAGTGCGACAATGATATTATTGATGTTATCCTTGAGTGTCTTGCTGGTATTCATAGTGACTGCTTGTGACTAAACCACTAGACAAAATGAAGAAGTGGTTAGCTCGATGATCACATCAGACAATACTCCCAAGTTTCTCGAAGCTGGTTGTTATTTAAAAGAAGGACCTTAGCTGGCTGTTTCGTCAGTAGTACAATCATGCCATCTCAAAATGAATCCATTTTTTGGCATGCCAAAGCAACCTAGCAGCCTGTTTAGGTTTCATTATTGGTAAAACTCAGATAACTTTGGGGACCATCATTACATTAGAGGTTCTGATGCGTACAAGATAACTCCAGACTTCACTTTACTTCTCGATATTAATCTCCAAGCTGTGCAAACGTGCTCGGGTACATAGATATTCCAAGAAGGGTGTGGAAGTAATGCCCACATCCTCCACTGATATACGAAAGATTGAAGTTGAATATCTTAAGGATCGGGCAAAGAAGAAGCATAAGGAAGCCTTTTTGGATCCTTCCCCAGATATGCACACGACTCTATAGCTACAAAGGAAGTTCTGCCCTCTCCATCCATTAGGCCTTCAGGTACATCGACTTCTATAGCTATTCCTACTAACACCTCAGGTTCTTCTACTGCTACATTGCCACCTAGACCTACTAAATTCTTGTTTCTTAAACTCCAATCACCTAGGCATCATTACTCCAGATTGGACAACTTGCTTACGCTGCCGATAATTGGGATGCCGAACTTGAGGCCTCCATTTGGAGCAGGATTTAGACCTCCCTAGCTGATGTCGTCTCACCTTTGAGTGATGATATTAATAACATTGCGGCAAGAATAACAGTTTGTGAGCGTGGACAAGGGGATACCGAGGAATGACGACCTTAAATGCCATTCTAGCTATATTGTCAGACGATGTGAATTAGCTGAAATCCACTGATATGTGCATGGTTTTTGGGACGGTGGAGATCCTAGATATGCTAGATACGCCTACGAATACCACCGGATATTAGGATAGAGTTACGCAGACAAATGATCCTAAGGCTGAGGAAAAAACGGGGATATGTTTGAGGTAACTAGGGAAGCAACAGATTAGGGTCTGGCTGAGACTTAAGAGATCATGTAGATGTTGTTGTACATGCTTCACTAGCAGGTACACCTTTTAATGTCTCTAGTGGACTTGGTGGTTCTGAGGCGACACCATGCAGTGAGGCCCAAGTTCACGTTGATGCACCCGATGTTGATGCCCAGACAGATGGAACAACTACTTAAACAGGATCCCCTCTTTTCCTCTTTCTTTGTATTACTTTTTGGATATTTTCTTTTATTTCCATTTGAGGACAAAATGATCGTAATTTTTGGTGGTGTAAGACCCACCTTCTGTGTGAATATTAATGTTTTATATTTTGTTCATATATTTGGGTCGTTATACTTAAAATTTTGTTTTATACTGCTTTTTGTGGATGTTTGAGTTTGTGGCTCCTGTTTTTAGTTGTAAATGATTTTTGACCCTTCAAAAAAATTTCCGCCACCTCCTGCATGTATTGGAGTGTGGCTGTTCTTTAGAAAATTTTAGATCTATATCTTTATCATATATCAATTAATGTTAAAACATAATGTATAATCATATCCAAATTTAGCATTAATATAATTGACATAAATAATGATCTTATCATATTCAAATAAAACTTTAATCTGACAAACTACCTAAAATCAATGTGAGTATTTTTTATCGAACCAACATATTCAAGGAAATGAAAGATCATAATATTCATGACCACCTAATAACCAATTTTTTTAAAAAAAGAAATCGCTTTATAAATTGTTAATCTTTCAACCAACTTGATTCAGATTTCTATTTAATTTTAACAATTATCTCATGAACATGAAATATACCTTCAATTTACGTAAATAAATATTTAAAACTAATCTTAACTTAGAATGATTTATAAATGATACATTGAGGATATTCTAATGACTCAAATAATATACAATTTTAGTGATTTATATTTATTAATCATAATTCTCAAATCATATATATATCAATGATTACAAGTAAATAAACCACTTAAGTTATAACTATCTATTAATCACAAAATTCTGCATTTATAAAATAGATATATATGTAAGGAATATTATGCTCAAATAATTATCAAAAACAAATTAATCCATTTGACTTGAATAGTGAATGTCACGACCTAACTTAGCTTTGGAAACAATAATCAATCAAGCATAAATATCATAAAGTTAGAAAAATCACAATCAGTTTAATGATATTTTGTTCATAAACAACTTCTATGAATCTCTTTCTTATAAAGCTTTGCAAAATTTGATTAATTAATAAGCAACAACCCTAAGAAAATTGCAACTAGAAGCCGATTAATAAATAAAAATCATTTACATGTGTAAAAGTTCATACTAAAATTTATTAAGTAAAAAAATCGATGGAACTTTAACTTTTCTTTTTACTAATGAAAAGTTTTCATTTGGGTTCCATTACTTTAAAAATAAAGGACTTCTAATAATCATTAGGGCAAGTATTTTCTGTTGCTGTCCATTCTCACATAAAAGTGAAACAATTGTCGCTAACACGTTTTACCCTCGTGATAATCTCACAATTAAGATAGTTTGTACTTTAGCCAACGAATAAAAGCTCTTCAAGTTTTATATGATTCGTTCTTTTTTGATAAAAGTTTTCCAACCATTGAATATACAATTGAATATACATATAATTAGGTTATATATAAAGATGTAAGTATGATTCTTATAGTGATTGTTGGAAAACTATATGCAAACATCGTATATTAATAATAGAAAAAACATAGTTTATGTTAGAACACATACAATCATGATAGAGCACATAAACTTTCTAAAATTTAATTTAAGAGTCACCTCTTGAAGTGTGACGATGTACCTTCAAGTGAACCCACACGTTAATCGACAAGCTAGAAGCTTCAATTGAATGCAAAGCTTCTCCAAAAATTGGACGACAGTTCAGCGGTCTTCAACAGTGATCTCAAATTTAATTACAACTCTCCAAATTCTTGATCGAGCAAGTATTATATAGAAAACTTATTCCTTTCAAGGGTTACAAGAATCTCTATTTGTAGAGATTTCTTCCTAGCCAAAGGAGGAAAGAAAATATATGTCTTTCCTTAGAATAGAAAAAGACATGTACTTCTCCATTTCATTAGAATAGAAAAAGATACATACTTCTCCCTTTACTTAGAAAAGAAAAAGACATGTACTTCTCCATTTCCTTTTAATAGTGAAAGACACATACTTCTCTCTTTCCTTAGAATAGAGAAAGACACATACTTCTTCCTTTTCCCCTTTGAATATATTATATGTTCTAGTTAAATATGGGCACAGTAGGGACCAGAAATGTAACGACCCTTTTGGTCGTTTCAAGTGCTAATGTCTTGTACTTTATAAAATACTTTTCGATAGATTCTAATTGGGTATTTTGGTCTATTGGTAACTATATTTATGAATTAGTGGGCCAGTTTTAAATATTAATTTAGTTAGTAATTAGAGAAGATACTACTAAAATTAGTAGTGGGTCACTTTATATATTTATTAAAAAAATTAATTATATAATAATTATGGTGATAATAATCTGTTATAAAAAAGGAGAGGAGAAGAGGAGAACAATGGAGAGCGGCGTTGAACGAAAGGAAATTGGAGCTGCTAACCTTTCCGGTAAAAAACTCATCCAAGATACCGATCATTTTTCATACATATATTTGGTTAATTAGTGAGTACAAGTCAATATTATATTGTCATTGTTTTATTTGTAACAATTGGGAAAGAAAATAGAGAAAAATCACATTAGTATTATACTAATTAGAAGGAGAAGGAAATTTGTTAAAGGTAGACTCATGGTTATTGTGTGAAAGTGGGTGAATCTACATGAAATGAAAATGATGACATAATGATTAAGATAATGATTGACTAATAAGATTATGAAGTTTGTTTATAGTATACGATGCAGTTATGTTAGAGTAGGCACTGGTTTTTGAAACAGTGACTTTAATCCTCAATGCTAATATGTGTTAGCTTTTTATAAATTGATCTTTAGTATATTGAGATAGTTAATTAAATATTAAGTATAGTATATTATTGAATATCATTAAGTCTGTTATTTGGAGATATAAAGACTTAACTTTCTGTTTGAATGTAGGAAATAAGAGACCTGACACATTAGTTGATCTCAAGATTAGGAAATTGATTATAGATTTGTGTTTACTATTTTTGGGATTAGGCTAGACATAAAATAATATGAGTGTTTATAAAGTCATTAACTTACAAGTTATGCACATATACTTATAGATTGGAAGGGTTCGGAGGCATTGAGGAAAGAAAAAGTATTGGAGAAGTAACTTGCTTGACTTCAGTTCTTTGGTGGAGGTAGATTATGGTTTATCTTATTTGATAGTAAACTCTTAATAGTGACTGATATACATTAAATGATATTGTGAAATTTTCTATGTACTTGATTGTGTGATTGTGTGGCTTGGTCGTGTGTTTTTTGATTGGTCTAAAATCCTGATACCGTGGAATGTATAATCTTAAACCATCTCTATCGAAGTATTCTTGGATCGAAGTGTCACGTCCGGCACGGTATTCTTGGATCGGAGTGTCACATTCCGACACGATAATAATAAAGGAAAAACATGTTGAATTAATGGAAAATACTCAATCTCAAAGAAATCAACTCCCAAAATGGTTTGGTTTGGAGGCATGAGTCCTCATGTGTGATCTTGATACCATTGACTTAATACGTGCTTATTTTATTGGTATTGACACTTGTTCATGTTGTTTGTCGCTTATCACATGTTAAGTGCTATATTGAGTTCATACTATTATTCTTTGTATATTTTTTACTATTTTGGGTTGACCAATGATACTTCTCAGTACATGTTGCCTCATACTGAGCCCTACTTGTTTTCTTTCTTTGTTTTCCTTTTATGAAATGTAGCGACTGTACCTATGACTTCTGATTTTCCTCACCTCTAGCAAGCCTCCCACATATCAAGTTTCAGGGTGAGCTATCCATTCAAACTCGTGTTGGGTTCTCTCGGTCATGACATGATGTCCTATACTTTCAAACACATACTATTTTATTATTTTATTTTGGTGTATTTGATATTCTTAGACATAGTATTGGAGATTAGATGTCCTTAATGTGATGACTTTAAGGTTTTGGGAAATGATATTTAGTAACATTTGAGTTTTCGCGTTATACTTGTATTTTGTAAGTTAGGTTAAATTGGTTGGTTCGCCCACGTAAGAGGTTAAGTGTTGGTTCCACTCACAACTCATTTTGGGTCGTGACAAACTTGGTATTAGAGTGTTAGGTTCGTTGATATCATCACACAAAGATAAGTTCAGTAGAATCTTGAGGAACAGTATGGGGACGCCTTTACTTTTCTTCGAGAGGCTATAGGACTTTAGGAAAACTTCATTCCTTCTTTCTTTCTTGCTACTACTTGAATCCAATTGGTATCTAGGTGATATAAATTGGTATTTGAACTTCTTCACTCTATTTCGCATATTGTTAGTACTAGAGTGTTATAAGTTGAAATAACAACACTAGAAAAAAATATGCCCCTGGAAATACATATATTTTCTCGATTGACTATACAGCCTATAATAACTAGTGATTAACATAATTTTTTTATTAAGTTTTTAAAGTTGAAACTCATGTTCTTTATGTGTACTGAATATGAAGATGCTTATGATTTTATTATTTTTATGTCATGATTGTTGTTTCAAAAAAATGAATATAGTAGAGAGGCTTAGTGTTGAGTTTGTGACATACTAGTTTTGAGTTTTGAGGATTCTCAAAATGTGGTAATAGTCGCATGTTGAGTGGAGATTAGTAAAGCAGCATTTTTCTAGCTTCGTAATGAAGAATTATATACCCTATACTTTGAGGTATAAGAGAAGATAAGTTACTGAATAACAAGAGAATGTTGCACCAATGGAGGTTAGAGTCTCTAATATGATCCACATATTGAGTGATGGTTACTACTCATTAGTATTTTCCTTGAAAGAAATTAGGACATAAGAGAGGTTTTCAGAGAGTTTTCAACTAGAGAGAAGACTGAAGAAAAATATTTATTTTCTTGCATACCTTTCCTCCAATCAGCAACTTTCAGATTGTGTTTCTCCATTAACTAATCGTTGGATCGGGGTAAAATATTTACTATGTGTTCCTGACATCTTGGTGGTTTATTTAAACGGTAGAGATTGAATTCGGATGTCTGAAAGATCATTTTTTTTGGTTCTGAAAAACAGCTACGTTTGGGTGGTGCTTGCATTAAAATTGTAGAGCCATTGCATTTATGTGTATATTATGAGGTGTTTTACTATTAAATGTAAGAAGATAAATCTTAATTTAAGACAATGGAGGTTATTAGAGTTCATAATGATGATAAGGGGTTGGTGATGTACTGTGATTCAGATAAAATTATATAATAAGGATTGTTGGTTAAACGAGTCTTGTACGGTACTAACGAGTTGCGAGCATCTAATGTTGTGGTTTTTCATTATTTGATAAATAATGTGGTTGTATGGAAATTCTTAGGAGATGTTGGAACACCACTTGAATTGAATTTAAAAGAGTAAGAGTCAAAAACAATTGTGGGATATAATGCAATCTTTAGAAAAAGATGAGAACAAGAATATTTTCTCTCATTGCAAGGGATAAAGAGGTGTCTTTTGGAGATCTAGAATTGGGTTTTGAGACATGTGGTTTCATATATTTTAGTATGGTCATGTTTTTAGTGTCACGTGTTTATCAAATTGGTTAAAGCTATCGAATAAGACTTAAGAAAGGAGTATACATACACTCAACTCCAGTGTGATGATAAGTTCTCTTGTGATTTTGTGTTTAGTAATAACTGCGTTGAACATTTAAAGAAGGATATGATAAGATCAATGAAGAGGCGATCAACGATAAATTAAGATACATAAATTCATAAAAATCATCAAGGTATCAATCATGTTTATAGATAAGGAAATTGAGTTACATTGTTTGATTTACAATTCAAATATTTCATTTTGAATCTATTTTTGTGGTGGTATGTTTTATAAAGGTATGAATTTGTGAGGTAAAATAAAAATAAATAATATATTATTTACATCAGATATTAAACATATGGAAGGACTGATGCATAGTGTTAATTCAAAATTTTGTTATGTTTGATTATTAAAGGACTGAAGGAGGATTTCACTTTAAAGCGTTAATTTAGAGTATAAGGTAAAATTATAGATCATTGATCAAGGAATAAGATTGCTAAGCAGGTTAGCAAAATGAGCAACAATATGGTGTATTGAATCATTCAAGGTATTTGAAAGTGGTGTCATCTATAGAATTTAAGAAAGAAACCTCTCATATAGACCCATGGATCAAAATTGAATGTTGTATGAATTTTCTTTTATAAGCTTAGATCTGACTATGAAGTGTGGACTGGTTTGCCACAGGCTTACTAAGAGTTTATCGTTTACTTTTATAAAGATTCAGTTTTGGTTTGGGTGACAAATATAAGGTACGAAAAATTTAGTGTAGTGGGATTAAATCTCAAATTATGATAGGTGACGTAAGAATTATGTACAAGGGGAGATCTAATTCTACATGGTTATTAGGAATTTAAAGTTGGGTTAGTATTGCCCTATTGATGGAACTACATAGAATGTAAGATGTGTTACATAGACATTCGATGATGAATAGAGGTTATGAGCTTACAGTATACAATATAATTTGAGTGATCATGAATTTCCCTAAGTATACGTATCGGCATGAGGTATATATGATTGTGTTTAATGGTAGCTAAAGCATGGTATGTGGAAGTGGTGGGAAGTTGACTTTGAGTGTGATTTAATGGTTTTATCTCAATGAAAAGGTACTAAGAAATTTGAAATTACTGTTATTAGCCTTGTTTGGGACTCATAATTGTCATAACATGCTTAAATGGAAAGATAGTTAGCCATAATTAAATGTATTTGATAAGAATACTTTGATACTAATGATGGTTTAAGAGTAAGGAAAATGATCGATATGATTATGATGTTTGTTAATATTAAGATCATTTCCTTAAGTTGATGCAGGCTTCGATAAACCAATGTGTGCAATTATAATAGAGACTAAATTGGTGATTGTGGGTAACTAAGAAATTAAAGAGATAGAGTTGGATGAATGAAAATGTTTGATATGGACAATATATGGATGAATGAAAATATTTGATATGGACACTATGAAAGGAGTATCTTGTGTTATTCGACTTTGATGTTGTATATTCCTATGTGACATCTTTCTTCGTAGTGGACATTATTTGACTACGCATTTTTTAAAATCTATGGGTTGATTCATAGTGGTGGATCGGATGTATCGATTCTCTTTTTTCCACTTGACAGGGTAGGATCTTTGGGCAAACTTGGTAATTTTAGTAATGATAGATTTAGTTTTGTTTGGGATAATTAATGTATACAAGTAGTTCTATACGCACAAATTTGCTTATGAGAACTAATTTAAGAGCTGCTATGAAGAGTTACAATTGCCTAAGAGTATTGTTAGAGGATCTGTATTTTGCAGTGTATCCCTTGTTGGTGTTGACTTTATATTATTCTTCTTCGGGTTAGATATGTTGATTCTCCCTTGACGAGTAATCGATGTTTAATGATAATTTTTATCACTTAAGCTTGTGATGAGATTGTGTTGCGAAAAGGAAATCTTGATAAGATCTGTGATGGTTTGTGCATTATGAGTGTGTGGTTGTTGGTTAAAGTTCGCTTCTGGTTGCGACCACTACCGATTCAGGATCTTTTTATGGTTATGTTAGATAATATTTGTCCTGATGGTCGTATCAAGTTCAAGTTGGAGAATCGGCCAGGTGAAGAGTCCATTATTGAAAATAGTTTTGGTGTTAGTTGAGCTACATATCACAACAATTATCACTAGTGTAGTGAGATGGACCCAGTTAAGGCATTGTGTTGGAGGAGGTATAGATCTCCAATTGGTTGGTTTAATATTCTGATATAAGATCTTGGGTACTACTATTTTGAATGAATTGTTGAGACAACTACCCTTTCTCGTCTTGCCTTTGTTTGATCATTCGAGGACGAACGATGGGTAAATTGGTATCGATTGTAACAACACTTTTGGTTATTTCGAGTGCTAAAGTCTTGCATTTTATAAAATATTTTTCGATAGATTCTAAATGGATATTTTGGACTATTCATGTAACGACCCGTTTAGTCGTTTTGAGCAACAAACTTCAATTCTGGAAAAACTGGCAGAAGCGACGGACCCCACGACGGAACGTCATGGGCACGACGAACCGTCGAGGGGGTCTCGTCCCAAAATACTTAGAAAATCTGAAATTGGGTACTGAAAATCAACTCTCTGAACTTTGTGACGGAATGGCAAGACGGACCGTCACAGGTGTGACGGACCGTCACAGACCCTTGGTGGAAAATTGGGTCTCTGAACTCTGCGACGACCTGCAGGACGGACCGTCGCAGGCACGACGGCCCGTCACAGGTTGCGCAAATCCCAGGCAGAGTCGGATTTCTGGTGAAGTTTTAAGGGACGTTTTTGGACTATTCTTTCCTTAATTATAGACTTCGTGGGTTTATATTAATAACTCAAATTCTTGAGGGTTAAAAGAGGTAACCCTAAGTTAATTAGTGGGGTATTATTGCCATCTTTTATTCTTAATTATATACTAATTAGGGTAAAAGAAAGAGGGTTTGAATAAGAAAATAGAAAGAACAAGAAGGGAGAGAGAGAAACAATCGAGAAGAGGAGGAAAACACCAAGCTTTGAGGATTAACTTGCTTGATTTCAATTCTTCGGTGGAGGTAGGTTATGGTTTTCATGCTTTCATAGTAAACTCTTAATAGAGAATGATATGTATTGGTAGTATTGTAAACCCTACTATATGCTTAATTGTATGTTTGCATGAATATGATTATGTGATTGTGATAAGATAAGCATGATCAAAAATATTGAATCCCAAATCTTGAAAAGAAACTTTAATATACATTATTAATGGGATTGAGGATGCCTTGGTATAGAGAAGGCTTGATGATTTACAGAATGATATTAGTGGATCGGAGTGTCACGTTCCGACACATAGATTTAGTGGATCGGAGTGTCACGTTCCGACACATAGATTTAGTGGATCGGAGTGTCACGTTTCGACACATGTAGGGGATCGGAGTGTCACGTTCCGACACATGTAGGGGATCGGAGTGTCACGTTCCGACACATGTAGGGGATCGGAGTGTCACGTTCCGACACATAGAATTAGGGGGTCGGAGTGTCACGAACCGACACAAGAGGAGGAAAGATAATGAATCTTGAAAGATGTTAATATACTCAATCTAACGAACATGATTCCCAAATGAGTATGGTATTGGGGCTTGAGTCCTCATGTGTGAATTTGATGGTACTTATTGATGATTATAGTACTTGTTGTTGTTACATGTTGAGTTTTATAGTTGATTTATGATAATACTTGATATATACTGTTCCCTATTTTGAGTTGGCCGATGATATCTACTCAGTACCCGTGTTTGTACTGACCCCTACTTTTATTGTTTTCTTCTTGCTTAATTGTGGAATGCAGCAAACGTGCCGTCATCTTCGACTCAACAGTAATTCAAGCCAGTCTTCGTCACACCGGATCTTCAGGGTGAGCTAACACTCCTAGCTTGGACTGGATCTCCTCCGTCACGTCTTGATGCCTTGAACCTCCGGCACGGACTAGCTTCTTATGTATTTTTAGCTTTTAGAATACTCTTAGTTTAGTCATTTGATTGTAGATGTTCTTGTGGTGATGACTTCCAGATTCTGGGATAATGATAAGTTTTTGAGTTATAGAAGTTGATTATTGATTTTTATTAATGAGTTTAAGTCTTCCGCATTACTTTTGTTGTTATTACATTGAAATGTTAAGGTTAGATTGGTTGGTTCGCTCACATAGGAGGGTAAGTGTGGGTGCCAGTCGCGGCCCGGATTTGGGTCGTGACAATTCATAACTATATTTATGAATTAGTGGGCCAGTTTTAAATATTAATTTAGTTAGTAATTAGAAAAGATATCACTAAAATCAGTAGTGGGTCACTTTATTTATTTATTATTATTACAAAAATGATTATATAAAGTAATTAAGGTGATAACAATCTGTTAAAAAAGGAGACGAGAAGAGGAGAACAATGGAGAGCGGCGTTGAACGAAAGGAAATTGGAGCGGCTAACCTTTTCAATAAAAATACTCATCCAAGATACCGATCATTATTCATACACATAACTGGTTAATTAGTGATTACAAGTAAATATTATATTGTCATTGTTTTATTTTTTCAATTGTTAAAGAAAACAAAGAAAAATCATATTAGTATTATACTAATTAGTAGGAGTAGGGAATTTGTTAAAGGCAGACTCATGTTATTGTGTGAAAGTGGTGGAATCTACATTAAATGAAAATGATGACATAATGATTAAGGTAATGATTGACTTATAAGGTTTTAAGGTTTGTTTATACTATACGATGCAGTTATGTTAGATTAGGCACTGATTTTCGAAAACCAATGACTTTAATCCTCAATGCTAATATGTGTTATCTTCTTACAAATTGATTTCTAGTATATTGAGATAGTTAATTAAATATTAAGTACAGTATATTACTGAATGCCATTAAGTATGTTATTTTGAGAAATAAAGATTTAACTTTAGGTTTGAATATAAGAAATAAGAGACCTGTCATATTAATGGACCTCAAGTTTAGGAGCTTGAGTATAAATTTGTGTTTACTGATTTTTGGTTTAAGCTACACATAAAATAATATGAGAATTTATAAAGTCGTTAACTTACAAGTTATGCACATATACTTGATAGATTGGAACGGTTCAGAGGCATTGAGGAAAGAAAATGTATTGGAGAAGTAACTTGCTTGACTTCGGTTCTTTGGTAGAGGTAGGTTATAGTTTATATTATTTTATAGTAAACTCTTAATAGTGACTGATATGCATTGAATGATATTGTGAAGTTTTCTATGTACTTGATTGTGTGTTTGTGTGGCTTGGTCATGTGTGTTGTGATTGGTCTAAAATTCTGAGACCATGAAATGTATGATCTTAAACCATCTCTATCAAAGTAATGCATTGAATAAAGAAGGCTTGATGAAATATTATTAACGAATGAAAAAGTGGTGATATTAAATTATAAATTAATGGTATTATTGGATCAGAGTGTCACGTTCTGACATGGTATTCTTGGATTGGAGTCAGATTTCGACACGATATTTTTGGATGGGAGTGTCACGTTTCGACACGGTATTCTTGGATTGCAGTGTCACATTTTGACATGGTATTCTAGGGTCGGAGTGTCACGTTACGACTTGATAATATTAAAGAAAAAACATGTTAAATTAATGAAAGATACTCAATCTCAAAGAACTCAACTCTCGAAATGGTTTGGTTTGGAGGCATGAGTTCTCATGTGTGATCTTGATACCGCTGACTTAATACATGCTTACTTTACTGTTGTTGACACTTGTTCATGTTGTTTGTTGCTTATCACATGTTAAGTGCTATAGTTGAGTTCATACTATTATTCTTTGTATATTAGTTACTATTTTTATTGACCGATGATACTTACTCAGTACATATTGCCTCCTACTAAACACTACTTGTTTTCTTCTTTGTTTTCCTTTTATGAAATGCAATAAGTGTACCTATGACTTCTGATTTCCCTCATCTCTAGCCAGCCTCACGCATATCAAGTCCAGGGAGCGCTATCCAGTCAAACTCGTGTTGAAATCTCTCAGTTATGATATAATGTCCTATATTTTTGGACACATACAATTTTATTCTTTTATTTTGGTGTATTTGATGTTCTTAGACTTATTATTGGAGATTATATGTCCTTTATGTGATGATTTTCATGTTTTGGGAAATGATATTTAGTAACACTAGAGTTTTCGCGTTATGCTTGTATTTTGTAAGTCAGGTTAAATTGATTGGTTCGTCTACTTAAGAGGTTAAGTGCGGATGCCACTCACGACTCGTTTTGGGTCGTGACAAGAAAGACACATCCTTCTTCCTTTCCCCCTTTGAACATATTTAATGCTCTAGTTAAATATGGGCATGGTAGGGACTATGAAATTAATTACTAAGACATTTGATTAGGGAAATAATTCAAAATAATTAGATTGAATTATTCTTACCATAATATATTAAACAGAGAAGGTCTAAAATGTCCCTCAAGTATTTGAATTGGTACAGAACTACCCTCCATCTACCTATCGGACATAAAATACCCCTAACATCTACCTTTCGACTCAAAAATACCCCGATGTTAACATTTTGACTCATATTTGCCTTATTTTTAATAAGTCCCTTAAAATAAATTATTAAATGTTTATTTATAATATTGCTTAATGTGATTGGTCTAGATTTAAACCCTTCTCAAATATATAATTAAAATTCTATTTTTAAAAATTCTATTTTTGTTTATAAAAATCACTTATCATTTATATTTTGACCCGATACACTTGCAAATAATATTGATTTTTTTCATGATATCTTCCTGTTGGCCTATTTTAAATCAACCCCAATTTATTATAACATAAATCAACTCATAAATGGAGATCCAACTAAAATCCATACTTACCTAGACTACCTATCCATTTTAAAATATTGTTATTTTCATTAATATATAATTTTATCACAATTATCCAAATGTCTTGTTTATTTTTTTTTTACTCCTTTTATTAATCTCGTATTCTTAATTAGGATATTTGAGACTCAAACTTTAAATGAACTCACATATTTATATTCTGTTAATTAGTATTAATGTCATCATGGGATGAGTGTGGGGATAAAAGAAATGATTATTTTTGTTCTTTTATTTTAAATTTTGGGTACACAAAAATGTAATATTTGTATATATTTGCTTGATTAACTCGTCCTTTATTAAAATTATTATTTCTATATGAATGCATCATTATTTTCCTCCTTTCTTTTCTCTCTTGTTTGTCATATATTTTTAAAAATAAAAATATTTGATCAGATCTAAATAGAAAAAATTTTGGAAGAGATAGGAAGTCAAGGGCCAAAAAGGACTAGTTTCGAGAGTAGATGCCTAACCTTTTTTATAATTTTAAATTTGTTTTACGAAAAAATATAATAAACAATAATAAATTACTAAGTTTCAAAAAAGACAATTAATCTTATGATTTAAGAGAAAACGATTTCCCGAATAAACAGAGTCGCCAGTTAATTTTTAATAAATTTCATCACAAAACTTTATCAGTATTTTTCAAAATATTTAAAAATATAAAATCAATTGAAAAACGATTCGAAGTTAAAATGTACATTCTGAGAAGGTGTTAGACCCTCGGAAAGCTCACTAACTCGCAGTTGATCGTCGATTTGACTAAATCACTTTTTTTAAAATAATCCAAATTTTGACTAAGTTAAGTAAATTCAAATCCTTTTCTTATTTTATGCTACTTCATTTTATTTAATTATTTAAAGGGAATATAAACTAAAACGAGAAATTTCTAAAGGAAAATAATTCAAAGTGTTAACCTAATATATATATATATATATATATATATATAATATATATATATATATATATATATATATATATATATATATATATATAATGAAGGATAAATGGCTATTAAGGGATTATTTAAATTAGAACCCAAAAAATAAAAGTATAAATTTAAGGAATCACAAAGTGTAACACAATCATTACATTATGTCCCGAAAAATTTAGTATTTACTAATAATCCCTTAAAGTTGTTGTGGCGTTATACATTAGTATGTTGTGATACATGGTAAATGTTACACAGTAACCTAAAACTGTTAAGATTAAAAGGGAGAAAAAACGAAACATTTAAATTTGTTATCTAAATCAACTTAAATTACGGTAACAGTTCATTAATAAGCATTAATTCAGCACGTAATTGGATAACAATTTCAAATTTTAAAAATTCAAGATTATATCATCTAGTTTGAATACATTTTTATGAACATCCGGTTATTAAACTTATTGACTGATACATGATAACAATTTTCAAAAACTCGTGACACACAGAAAATCATATGGTACACATCAAATTCATGTATCAATGCATGGTCTAAACACTATAACACACTGAGTCGATATATATCAGCAAACATAGTTGATGGCGCAGTTATTGAACTTATTGACTGATACATGATAACAATTTTCAAAAACTCTTGATACATAGGAAATCATATGATATACATCTAATTCATGTATCAATGCATCGATTAACATACTATAACACACTGAGCACTTATGTATTAAGATTATTGTCTGATACATAATAACAATTTTCAAAAATTCATGATACTTAAGGGATTCCTTTACTAAAATTTTTACTAATATCAACAACAATGGTTGCTGATTTTTTTCTTTTTTTTTGTGTGTATTTTGTCAACCTTTGATTTAGATGATTCACCAAAATGTTTGTTTGAATCCTTCCGAACATTCATAGGATCATGCAAAAACTTTTTTCTATTTTCTTTTCAATTTTCATCGTCCGAATCATAAATCCTTCTATTAGTAAAAGGATCTATTAATATGATGTAATGGAACAATGAACAACAAAAAAAGAACGGATGATGGAGTAAGAAGAAAAAGAAGACCTAGAGGCAGCTGATATAATATAACAATGAACAAGAAGAAAATAAGAACAAGTGATGGATTAAAAAGAAGAAAAAGAACTATAGACGGATGATGGAGTAAGAAGAAGAAGAAGAACCAGAGAACAACGGTCAAATTTTCAGAAATTTCAAATTTATTGAATTTTGAAATTCAAAATTTCATATTAAATGTTGTGAAACGTTTTTAATTAAAATTAATAATTCAAAATTCAAACAGTGATTCAGAAGATTGAGTATTATAGTGGAGAAAAAATAGGCATGATATTGAGGAAGTGTGTGTTATAGAAGAGAGAAGGCTATGTATCTCTAAACTTCTACTAAAATTAATAAAAAGGAATTATGTAATATTTAAAAAAAGGAAGGAAAATTAGAGAATACTAAACTTATAGTTGTGTATTTAAGTTATTTTTCCAAACTAAAATAATAGCTTAGTGGCTACAAAAATAAAGAGAAAGATAGAGGTATCAAATTTGGTCCTTTGAGCCCATTGTCTGCTACAAGACCTGCTGGACAAAACAAACTTTTCAAGGATTTTGGGCCTATTTCTCCTTCCAAGTTTCTGTATACACTGAGGTATACCAGTGTATACAGACCGTATTTTGGTCCGTATTTTGTCATATGATTATTCTTTTCATCAACTCCGAGCTGTATTTTACGATCTATGTTCTGACATTTTTAGCAACCCATAAATCATATTTTTGGCTGTATTACAGTGTATACAATAGGTATATCACCTATTTTCAGGCTTTTTAGAGTCTGAAAAATCAAAAAATTTCAGCCATCTATTCATCGTCTTCCACCTGTGTGTCAATTCCACAGACTTGGCTGACTAGATGAAAAGTTTTTAGGCCTCTATGGCCTAACGAGAAATGCAAAGGGTAAGAAGGAGTCCACAGGGATTCGAGCAAATTTCATGTAAACACAAAACAAAGAAACGAGTTAACTTATAATCCAATTAAGATTAAGGTAAGATGAATGAACTAGGAAGGTGCATATTAATGAATAGTCTAAGAAAAAAACAAAGGCACATGGATAGCTAAATATATTAATAGCAAAATTAAGCAGAGCATAACCATCAATAGAAAACATTATGCTAATTAATGTTGCCTACACAAAATGGTTGAGATGGAGCAGTAAACATAAGGACACTCATTACAGTGATCTTCGAATGACTACTAGAATACATAAATAATAGGTAAAGGAAGAATTAGTTGACATATTTTGCATGCTTCCAAAATTCCTAAAAGTACTAGCTAGAATCAAATATAGCTACATCAAGAGAGAACATACAATGACAAATATAGAACTATAGTAGACATCAATAGTAAAAAATGCTAAGATGGTATCCTTGAGGGATAATACTATCGAACAGTGACACCACATCATGACGAAAATCAAGTCGAACGAGTATTGTATTAATTTGATTACATTTCTATGTCGGTAAACAACAAAAAATGACATACATTTTCTATTTTTTACAGCACTTGAAAGGCGAAAAGGATGAACCAAGGCGTCAATGAATAAGAATAAGAAAAACAGAACTTTGCGTAATCTCAAAAGGAGAGAGTAAACTAAACTTTTTGGAACTAGACTCGGCGAAACCGAACCGGCAAGATATCATAAAGGAAACAACATCAATGCTAATGTTCAAAACAGGGGCAAATACAACACATAGTTCATAATGTCAACATCTCGATTTATCCATTCAACTAGAGATGAAACGGATGAAAATTATGGCATTGGGTACCAAACAATAATAAAGGTTCATGCTAAACAAGGGCCAAACTAAGACATATACGATCACCTCGACAGTTGGTCACAACCATATTATGAAAATCAAGACAACAAGACCAACAATGGTTTTGAATCTGACATCCCAAATAATCATACAGGCGCCTCTAAATCTGGCTCATATGTGAAAGACAACCTCTTGGAGCATGTAAAGCGACCACAGTTTCAAAGTGACACGAACAGAGAGATAAGTAAAAAGAAATGTGTTAGACTTTCATGTTAAACAGAACATGTTGTCTAACTCAGAAAATGAGAAGAAGACAATAACATCAAACTTTCAACTATAACAAAGAAAAAAATCCACCACCATGGATTTTCAAACAGATTCTATCCTTGATTGGTAGTTAACAATGAGTCAAAAACATTAACAAGCTCACACAATTGAGAGTCAAACGAGCAATATATTCGGAATAGAATAGGCTTGAAACGAAATGAGCATTACCTTTCGAAGTGCAGCAAAATTGGGATAGCAACGAGCAAAGATAGATAACAATGACCTCCACCACGCAAATAACGACACGGACAACAGTCGAGAAAGGTTTCAAACCCAACGCATTAACAATAAAAGCACTCCCTTTCTTTTCCTTGAAGTGTATTTAGTGTGTACTAAAGTATTTTTTGCTCAAACTTTCTTTTTGCCTTAGTAAAAAAATTTTTGACTACAATTCTCCAATTTATTTAAAAAAAACTTCCCCCTGATTGAAGATGAAGAGACTATGTATAGGCAAAAATTAGGGTTCAATTTTTTTGGGGGAAAGGGGTGAAAAATCAATAAGACAAGGACAAAAATCGAAAATCAAACTTCAAAAATTTCACCATTTCTGGCAAGACACCATTTTCTGAAGGTTCAAACCATTCTGAAGCGGGAAAGGAGAAATAGATGGTTGGGATTCGATCCCAACGTCCTTGGGCGCGACGTGAAGCAATCTCATGCTACCAAGGACAATTTGCGTGACCTGCTGCTGCTTTTTCTGGTGCGACGGTATGAGCTGAGGGAGACATTGAGGAAGGAGATAAAAGCGACGCAGAGTGCTGGTACGAGCCTTTTTGAGCTATGAACATTTTCCGTTAACTCGCTTTCGCGTTAGGCTCGTCTAGGCGTCGTCTCGCCGTCACGCGCAATGTCGTTTGATCTGCTTCACACCGTTTACTTATTGTAGTTGTTGATGTTTTGGGTTTCTTTGTGGACTCCGAACTGGGCCGGGTCGGGGCTTTTGGTAAAGACGAAATGGGTAGGCTGAATTACAGTGGCAAAGGGGATGGGCTGTTGCTAACATTTGAATTAAAATTTGGGAAATTTTTCAAAATGTCAATATTTTAGCATTTAAGAGGACTAATTAGCAACAATTTCAATATTTAGTGAAAATGTCATTTTAGATTGTTATGTATCTTATTTATGTTTTTATTATTTATTTTTATTTAAAGAATATAATTATTTAATAACAAAAAGGAGAAAATCAAGGGGGAATATTTCAAAAAAAGACAAGCATCCTTAATTTTCTCATAGTTATATTTTCAAATAAAATTTAAATTTTTTTTTCTCCAGAATTTTTACCTTTTTAAAATTATATTCATTCCACAATATATTCTATTTATATTTATTATAGTTTTTTATTAGTTTGTATTCATTCCAATAGTTATGCCGAATTTATCTATATAGTCATTTAAGAAATATATTTGTATTTTCATATATTTTTTCCCTATATAGTTTTTTTTTCTTCAAAAATCCTGTATGTATTCATTTCAATATGTATTTTATTTGTATTTCTATTTATTCTAGTTTTTATTTAGTATTTTGTATAATAATATATAAAATACATAAAATTAGTATGATGAAAAAGTGAATGAAATATAAAATTGAAAAGAAATAATTGAATATTTGGTGCACTCATTCTTAAATAAAATACATAACTAGTTGACATACCTTTAGAATAAATACAAATTAGAAAAAAATGTCAAATTCAGTTGACATACCTTTATTAGTTTGTATTCATTCCAATATGTATGTCAAATAAAATGTAGCTATTTAAGAAATACATTTGTATTCGTATATATTTTTCACTGTGTATTTATTTTTCTTTTCAAAATCTTGTTTCCTTTTCTAAGTCGTATTCATTCCAATATGTATTTGTATTTGTATTCAAATACAAATAAACTAATAGAAAGTTGTGTTCTTATAAATAAAATACATAACTAGTTGACATACATTTGGATGAATACAAATTAGGGACAAATACAAGATTCATAAACCATGCAACATGAAATTTTTAATAAATACAAATATTGATAGTATACATAGTGATTTGAATACAAATTAAGAAAGCATACCAAATTCTAAAAAAGAACTATAAATACAAAACAAACTAATAGAAAATTGTTCGACAACTATCCGATCTTCGTCATCTTTTTCAAGATCCTAATGAGTAGACAAAGATTCTACATTTGCGTTCTGAAGTTAAGGAAGGTTTTGCGCACCAATGAGTCTTGTAAATGTTCTTACCCTCTTTCTTCCCTCATTTAAGCAGCGGATCATACATTATACACTATTTGTTAAGTAATAAATAAATTAAAGGATGAAAAATCACTAGAAATTGGTTGATTAAGATGAATACCTCTAGTAAGCCTCTTGGATTCAGCCATTGGAGAGTAAATCATAACGGAAATTGAAAAATACAAATAACATTTTTTAAGATTTAAACAAAAATAAAATTAGAAAAGAAATCTGAAAATATGATAAAGATTAGAGATACCTTAATCAAAGGGATTCTTGTTGATTCAATTTTGGATTAAAAAACAACCAAAATATATGGCAAAAAAATATTTGCAACTTGAATGTTGGAGGAAAATCAGAAAAGATAACCACGAGAGAGAGAATTAACAATTTGAAAAGATAAATATGAGAGAGAATGATAAGTATTAATTGAAAAAGAGAGATAAAATAGGAAGAAAATTGGGACACATAAATTTTTTAAAATAATGACATTTTTGACATTATTGCTAATATTTATAAAGTATGGATATTTTTACTTAATATGTTATTTATTTTGACTAGTTTAGTAATTTTTCCTTAAAATTTTGCCTTTTTGGAATTGGGTTTGAAAGAGGAAAGGGCTGCTGATTTTATACTAACGTTGGGCTGGGCATATGTATTTGGATTTGGCGAATTAAAACTTACTTAGCAAACTCGATCAATGAATAAGTCATACCAATTAATATAATTAACCAACAAGCTTTTCAAGATATAAAGTATTATACAACTTAATTAATTAATCAAATTCTTACTAAAACAAAAAAATTTGAGACGATTTTTGAATGTTTATAAGATAAATCAAATGCATAAAGACAAATTATATATATATATATATATATATATATATATATATATATATATATATATATATATGTATGTATATATGTGTATGTGTGTGTGTGTATTTAATTTTATAAAGTCAATTGTTTCAATTGTTTGGAATTTAAGAAGCTAGATGATTAATTTATATTGTGGAGGTCAAAAATTGGGTGTCAACAAAATTTAATATGAAATTTAAAATGAAGTCCATCATGTGATCTTATATATTAAGATTTCAAATTATTTTAACGAAGAAGAGACTAAAATTCCCTTAAACTATGAGATTCGGTACAATTACCCTCCATCAATTAATGAGTATGATCCATTAGATATAAGAGTATTTTTTAGCCAAAAGGTAGATGTTAGGGGTATTTTAGGGTTGATAGGTAAACGAAGACTAATTTTATATCCATTAAAATACTTGATATCATTTAATGCCCTAAATTAAAGATCATTTCACTAGAAATTCGTAATTGTACTCCTCTACTTACATCTCGAAGTTATCCACTGTACACATATGTAATTCTACATGTTAAAATTACATTTACTAATCAATAAATTAAAATTTTAACAAATTTAATTTAATGATTAATTTCCTTTAGGGAGTGCTTAAATTATTCATGTACCGGATTTATAATTCCACTTGCAAGATTTAACACGATGAAAACTTATACACTTCTCAAAAGTGTAACGACCTGTTTAGTCGTTTTGAGCAGCAGATTTATTTCTGAAAAAACTGGCTGAGACGACGGATCCCACGACGGACCGTCATGGGCACGACGGACCGTCGAGGGGGTCTCGTTCCAAAACACTTAGAATTCTGAAATTTGGGTACTGAAATCGACTCTCTGAACTTCGTGACGACATGGCAGGACGGACCGTCGTGGGCATGATGGACCGTCACAGACTCTTCAAGGAATTGAGTCTCTGAACTCTATGACGGAAGCAACAGAACGGACCGTCGTAGGCACGATGGACCGTCACAGGTTGCGTAATCCCAGGCTGGGTCGGATTTCTTTAAATGTTTTAAGGGACGTTTTGGACTATTCCTGCTTATAATTATAAAGTTAGTGGTTGAATATTAATAATCCAATTTCTTGAGGGTTAAAAGAGATAACCTTGTATCAATTAATGGGTTAATTCATCATCTTTTATACTTAATTATATGCTAATTAGGTAAAAGAAAGAGGGTTTGAATAAGAAAAATAGAAAGAACAAGAGAGGGAGATCGATCGATCGAGAGAGAGAAGAACGAAGAGGAAAACGAAAAAGCTTTGGGAAATTGCTTGCTTGATCACGAATCTTCGGTGGAGGTAGGTTATGGTTTTTATGCTATTCGTAGTAAACTCTTAATAGCGAATGATATGTATTGGGTAGTATTGTAAACCCTTCTATATGCTTAATTGTGAGCTTGCATGATGTGTTTATATAATTGTGATAAAATAAGCATGATGAAGCTATTGAATCCTAAATCTTGAAAACCTCTTGTTAATGATGATGCCTTGATATAAAAGAAGGCTTGATGAACTAAACTAATGAGGTTGATGATGCCTTAGTATAAGAGAAGGCTTGATGAACTAAAGTAATGAGATTGATGATGCCTTGGTATAAAAGAAGGATTGATGAATTCATAGAATGAGATTAGTGGAGCGGGTGTCACGAACCGACACGTAGAATTAGGAGATCGGGTGTCACGAACCGACACGTAGAATTAGAGGATCAGGTGTCACGAACCGACACGTAGAATTAGAGGATCGGGTGTCACGAACCGACACGTAGAATTAGGGGATCAGGTGTCACGAACCGACATGTAGAATTAGGGGATCGGAGTGTCACGTTTCGACACATAGTAGAATTAGGGGATCGGAGTGTCACGTTCCGACACATAGTAGTAGGGGAGCGGAGTGTCACGTACTGACACAAGAGGAATAAAGATAATGAATCTCGAAATTATGTTAATAAATTCGAATGAAAAGAACCTATTTCCCAAATGAGTATGATATGGAGGCTTGAGTCCTCATGAGTGTACTTGACGTTATTTATCAAAGATTCTTGTACATGTTGTTGATACAGATTGAGTATTGTAGTTGATTTATGATATGATCTTATATATACTATTTTCTATTTTGAGTTGGCCGATGATACCTACTCAGTACTTGTGCCTTGTACTGACCCCTACTTGTATTTGTTTTCTTGATTTAATTGTGGAGTGCAGCAAACGTGCCGTCGTCTTCAACTCAACCGCAACTCTAGCCAGTCTTCATTACACCGGATTTCAGGGTGAGCTAATGCTTCTAGCTTGGGATGGATCTTCTTCTTCATGTCTTGATGCCTTGAAGTTCCGGCATGGACTAGCTTTTTATTTATTCTGGCTTTCTAGATACTCTTAGAATTAGTAACTTGAGGATAGATGTTCTTGTGATGATGACTTCCAGATTTTGGGGATAATAATAAGTGTTTGAGTTTTTAGAAGTTATTTGATTTATTTTGTTAATGAGTTTTAAGTCTTCCGCAATGTATTTAGTTCATTATGTTTGAATTGATGGGGTTTAGATTTGTTGGTTCGCTCACATAGGAGGATAAATGTAGGTGCCACTCGCGACCCGTTTTGGGTCGTGACAAACTTGGTATCAGAGCATTAGGTTCGTTGGTCTCATCACACAAGAACGAGTCTAGTAGAGTCTTAAGGAACGGTAGGGGGACGCCTTTACTTTTCTTTGAGAGGCTATAAGACTTTAGGAAAATTCCATTCTTTCTTTCTTTCTTTTGTGCTATTACTTGGATCCAATTGGATCTAGGTGATACAAATTGG